GAAAGAATAGAGGAGAAAAGGCAAGAATGTATGAAGAGAAAGGAAAATATGAAAATAAAAACAGGAAAAATATTGAAATTATAGAAGATAAATAATGCTTAAACATAGATGAAAAATAAACTAATATGGGGGTATTTGTGAAGGGGGGGTATAGGGGGTTGGAAAGGGGGGGGGGGAAGGGAGGGGGAGTAAAGAAGGGAAGTAAAAAAAAAAATAACAATAAGTTAATAAAAAAGAGAAGAAAACGTTGGGTTAAAATTGGGTTTAAAGGGGGGAGAGGGGAGTTTAAATTGGGGGGGAGGGGGAGCTTAGATTGGGGGGAGGGGGAAAGAGGAACGAGGTTCGTGTTAAAATGGGGGGGGGGGTAGGGATTGAAAGGGGGGAGGGGGTGTTAAAAAAAAAAGCGTATATAATTTTGATCAAATTGAAATTAAGAAAAAAAAAACGTGAAAAAAAGTTGGCTTCGTATTAGGGAGTGAAATAGAGAGTGAAGGGGGGAGGGGAAGGGGGGAGGGGGAGTGTTAAGACAGAGGAGTTAAATATGGCGATCAGATAGGTGGGGGGGGGGGGTTGAAGTAGGAGAGAGGTAGATAAAATGAAAGCAGAAAACGAAAACAAAATTCGCGAGTGAGGTGTGACAGGTAAGGGGGGGGGGGGATGGAATAAGGAGGGGGAGAGGAAGATGGAAGGAGGAGGGAGAGAGAGGAGGATAGAAACGGGAAGGGGGGGAGGGGGTGATATGTTTGTTTGCATGTATACATTTATTGAAAAAAAAAAAATCTTATATGTTTTTAATGATGAATCGAGAGAACACAGAAAAAGAATATTCATCAAAATATTCAAAAATATTCTTAAAAAATGGTCACTTTAAGATTGATTTCCCACAATACATATAAAAAAACAAAATGGTTCTAATAATACCATGTTTTCTGAATTTCGCTTTAAATATATATATATCCAAGTTATGCTAACCCGTTTTTTTTTTTTTTCTTTTTTTTTACATCAACTAATTCAGATGAACTGGAAACTCAACAATTCGATCAGATTTATCTAATTAATATTTCTAGTTCCATAATTATAAGATAATTCGTTTTTCTTTTTTATCATTAACTTTATAATTATCTCATCAGATCTGAAGTGAAGCTCGTAAACCATTGAAAATAAAATAAAAAATCTATTTGATTATTGCACCTTCGGTAATAATAAAAAAAAAATGTATATGTTGGTGTTATTAATATATTTGTCGGATTAAAAATGGCGGTGCGTAGTTACAGAAAAATAATTATTTAAAATTATTTTCGTAAGGTATTTTCTTACATATCATATATATACATTCTTAAAGTTATTTCTATCAACGTAGCTAGCTATATTTCTGTCTGTCTATCTATCTCTATATATTCCTGTCTGTCTATTTATCTATCTATATATCTGTCTGTCTGTCTATCTATCTATATATCTATCTGTCTATCTATTAATCTATATATCTATCTGTCAATCTATCTATCTGTGTATCTATCTATCTCTCTAATTATTTGCATCTATATCTGTCTATATAATTGTCTATATCTGTATCTGTCCATTTATTTATCTATCTGGATCTATATCTATCTATCTATCTATTTAGGTATATATTGATATCTATGCATCTATCTATATTTATATCTGTATCCAAATCTGTAGCTCTATCTATACCTATATCTCTCTATTTATCTATATCTCTATTTATCTATAAGTATATATAAATACAAACACACACACACACACACACACACACACACATATACATATATATATATATATATATATATATATATATATATATATATATATATATATATATATATATATATATATATATATGTATATATGTATATATATATATACATATATATATATATATATATATATATATATATATATATATATATATATATATATATATATATATATATATATATATATATACACATGTATACATTTGTATGTAAATATATGTATGTATATATATGTGTATATATATATATATATATATATATATATATATATATATATATATATATATATATATATATATATATATATATATATACATATATACATATGTGTGCGTGTGCTCATATGCGCGCACGCGCGATGTGTGTGCATATGAATGCACACATGCACACGCGCACGGATTTACATATGTTAGGTAAGTCTAACTGTAGTGGGTAGAGACAATAATGCCAGAATCGACATCGACTGATAGTGGCCGTGTATTTATGCGCGCGCGCGTACACACACACACACACACACACACACACACACACACACACACACACACATATATAAGTGGGCTTGTGTATGTGTCTATTCATATCTATCATCATCATCATACGGAATGATCGCTGGGCTGACCGCCCGTGGCATCCCACACAAATTATATTTGGGGATGTGGTCAAGTAGCTATAAAATAAGCAAAATAAAGGCCCCTCAGTATTTCCTTACACTTATCTACACATCTAAGCAAATAGATAAAACTGTGAATTACCTGAGAATTTAAGTTTAAAGAAAAATAATGTTATTCAGCAAACCTACATACAGACCGATCGGCACGTGATTTTTTTTTTTTTCTTTTTTTTTCTTTTTCTTTTTCTTTTTTTCTTTTTATTATCCTCCGCCATTGAATATTCATACGTTAATGGGAAAGATGAACGTTATAAATATTCTGCTTAACGATGTGACAGCTGTTCGTCTGTTGGTTGGGAGTAATTTCGGTTTTGTGTGTTTTATTACTCGACTTATTACTTGCGGTTGATTTAGCTTTTAAATGTAGTGGAGCGAACATGGGAATGAGAGAGGAAAAAAGTACATTCGGTAATATATATGTGGGTGTGTGTGGGTGGGTGTGTGTTTGCGTGCGTGTGTTTGTGTGTGTGTGTATGTGTGTGGGTGTTTGTGTGTGTGTGAGTGGGTGGGTGGGTGGGTGTGTGTTTGTGTGTGTGTGTGGGTGTGTGTGTGTGTGTGTGTGCGCGTGTGTGTGTGTTTGTGTGTGTTTCTTTTTATTAACTACTCTCTCTCTTCCTTTCTCTCCTTTTCTCTTTCTAATCCGTCTCTCCCTCTGTTCTTCCTCTTTTATTCTCTTTCTCCCGCCCCCTTCCTTCCCTTCTCCCTTTCATATCCTTACCTCTATATCCTATCTCTCTTTTCCCTCTTCCTCCTTTTTCCCTCTCTTTCTTCTCCCTCCTCCCTTCCCCCATCCCTCATTTATCCCTCTCCCACTCGTCTCCTCTCTCTTCCTCTTCCTTCTCATCCCCTTCTCCTTCTTTATCCCATCTTCCTTCTCGTCTCCCCTTCCCCCTCTCGGCACCCCCCCTCCCCTCTCCTCCTTCTCTCCTTCTCCTCCTTTCGTCTCCCTCCCCCTCCCTTCCTCCCTCAACCCCCTACCCCCCTCGCGTCACCTGACAGCTTCCTCTCCTCCTACCCCTATATCCCCCCCCCTCCCCCGCCCATGTCGTGCTCACTGTGTCTAATTACTCCTTCCGGCGCGGGCGTAGGGCGGGCGCAGGACGGGTTGAGGACGAACGGGCGTAAAGATGGGCGTAGGGCGGGCGCAGGTCGGGCATTGGACGGGCATAGGACGAGTGTAGGACGGGCGTAGGACGGACATAGGATGGGCGTAAGATGGGCGCTGGACGAGCATAGGACGGGCATAGGACGGGCATAAGACGGGCATAGGACGGGCGTAGGACGGGCATAGGATGGGCGTAAGATTGGCGCTGGACGAGCATAGGACGGGCGTAAAGATGGGCGTAGGCGCGGGCGTAGGACGGGCATAGGACGGGCGTAGGACGGGCATAGGACGGGCGTAGGACGGGCATAGGACGGGCGTAGGACGGGCGTAAGACGGGCATAGGATGGGCGTAAGATTGGCGCTGGACGAGCATAGGACGGGCGTAAAGATGGGCGTAGGCGCGGGCGTAGGACGGGCATAGGACGGGCGTTAGACGGGCATAGGACGGGCGCAGGACGGGCATAGGACGAGCAAAGGACGGGCGTAGGACGGGCATAGGACGAGCGTAAAGATGGGCATAGGACGGGCGTAAGGATGGGCGTAGGACGGGCGCAGGACGGGCATAGGACGGGCGCAGGACGGGCATAGGACGAGCAAAGGACGGGCGTAGGACGGGCATAGGACGGGCGTAAAGATGGGCATAGGACAGGCGTAGGACGGGCATAAGACGGGCGCAGGACGGGCATAGGAAGGACATAGTAGAAGAATAGAAGAGAGGGAAAAAAGAGAAGAAAAATAAAAACGAAAAAAAATAATAGAACATGAGAAAGAAAGAAAGGAAGGAGAAACATAAAAAGACGAAAGAAACGAAGCAAAGGAGAAGAGAAGAAGAGGAGGAGAGGAATATAAGGAGAACAACTCGGTCTTACGTAATCTTCCTTCTTCATTTTCCTTTGACTCGCTTTCGGTCGTCGAATAATTTAGAACTAGATAGAGATCTTTTTTCTTTTTTTCTTTTTCTTTCTTTCTTTTATTTATTTTTTTTTTATTCTTTGGGTATGCGTGATGAGCCTTTAATCACTCGACACCCACACCTCCCCCCCCCCTACCTCCGCCCCCCCCCTTACCTCTAACACCTATTTACACCTCCCCTCTCACCCCTCCTCTCTCCTCCCCTTCCCTCTCTCTCTCCCCCCTCCCCTCCCCTCCCGCGACACCGGTAACCCCAACCTGTCATCCTGTCTCACCCCCCCCCCTCCCCTTCCACCACCCGGCCACTCTAAACCCCTCCCCCTAACCCCTTCTTCCTTCCCCTCCCCCTCCCCAACTATACTACCCCTAGTAGCTATAATCCCTTCCCCCCCTTCCCCTCCCCTCCCCAACTAAAGCCAACGCCTCCAACCTCTCCTCCCCCCCTCCTTCCCCCTCCCCCCCCCACCTCTCAACCAGCGCCTGTAGCTTCTTCAACCCACTATCCTAGAATTATAACCCCGCCCCCTCCCTCCCCCTC